TATTCTGCAAACCAGGAACTAAGTTGTACTATAATTAGTAAAGATGGCACTCCATTAATCAGGGTCCCTAATATATCCTGGTGGGCCTAGTTTGGGCACCAAAAGTTCCATGTCCTAGGAAGCCCCTTATTCTCAGGCAAACTGGGAAAGCCAATCACCTTCCAGCCAACAGGGAGGTAGACCAGAGTTGGTCATTGAAAAATCCCCCAAAGGCAATCCCCACAAGTCTTTTTTTTTTTGTACAGGGAATTGAACTCAGGGATGCTTACCACTGAGTTACATCCCGAGTCTTTTTTATTTTTTTAATTTTGAGACTCTCTAACTTTCTTAGGGCCTTGCTAAATTGCCGAGGCTAGTCTCAAACTTGCAATCCTCCTGCCTCAGCCTCCCAAGCTGCTGGGATTATAGATGTGCACCACCATGCCCAGCCCCCACATCCCTAGGCCTTTTTTATATTTTATTTAGAGACAGGGTCTTGCTGAGTTGCTTAGGACCTCACTAAATTGTTGAGGCTGGCTTTGAACTTGCAATCCTCCTGCCTCAGCTACTGTGCCTGGCCACACATAGATATCTAAGATTCCATGTTATGATGTTTGCTGTGCCAACGAGGCTGATGGCTCTGAATCTTCTCTGTTGTGACTTTTGCCCTCAGCCTGAAGGGAGGCTGGAACTCCTAAGGAATTAAACGAGACTGACTAAATTTGAACCAAATTTACTGAATGAAGTACCAGAGGGGCTCAGTGTCTTGTTAAATGTCAATCAGATAATAAGTGGCAGAGCCACACATTCCCACCGCGATGTCTTGTGCGACCATGGGCCCAAAGCAACAGAGCCAATGTCATGAACTGAAACCTCCAATACTGTGGACTAAAATAGAACATTTCTCTTTCTAAGCTGATTATGTCAGGTATTGGTCATAGCAGCAAAAAGCCGATGGCCACTGTGCGCTCACGACCCCCCTCCCCTCTGTCCTCTCCCTGCCTCAGGCCTCCACGGCTCTACAGATTCCGACTTCTGCCTGAGCTTCTCTCACCCACATCCAAGCTCCTCCTCACCCCCTTTCTCACCAACTCCAGCCATCCTAGCCTTTCATCTGTACTTCAGACTATTCAGGTTCATGGGACTAGCTGTTGGCTCTGCATGAAATATTCTTCCCCCATCTCCACACGCTGACCCTCCTCATCATCCAGGTTTCAAACTAAACATCATCAACTGAAGGCTGCTCCCTTGACAGCTGAGCTACTGTTGCTGGTGACCATCTCATGAGAGTTTCCAGGGAGACAACCCCCATCCTGAGGTTGCCTTGAAGTAACCTCGGAGCTGGGCCCAAGAAGGCTCCCCGTCAATAGGACTAACGTTTCTGCCTCTATGTGAGCTCATCAGTCTCTAGTTGGGCTAAGAGAAGGAATAATAGTGTTCCAGGAAGAGGGAACACAGGGGCTGGAGGCCCAGAGCAGTGAGCTGGAGCTGGAGGAGGAACAACAAGTCAGTCTCCCTGGATTTCAGAGGGCTGAGGTGGAGGTGAGAAGTTAAGGCAAACCACAAAGGGTTTTGTAAGTCTTGCTAAGGTGGTGAGCTTGAGCCTATGGGTAATGGGAAATCTTTAAAGAGTTTGAAGAAGGTGGTGATATGGTCAGATCTGCATTGAAACAGAAAACCACAGTAGGTAAAAGATGCTTCTCGGGATGTAGAGCTCTGTCCTAACCTAAATCCCACATCCTCTCCCAGATGGTCTCACTGTGTACTTCTAGTTGTTGCTCTTAATGGAATTCCAAAGAGGGTGCAGGATGCAGGAGCTTTGGCAGAAATCTCCTCACTCCTATCACGAGTTGACCCTCCCCACCACCTCACCAATAGATAGCCATGCCCAAATTCCCTAAACCTGTGAATTATTTTGGAAAAGTTAAGAATCTTAAAATGAGATCACTGAGACGGCCTGGATGGGCCCTAAGTCCAACGGTCGGTGCTGTGGTTTGGATCCTGAATATCCCCAAAGGCCCACAGGTTGAAAGCTTGGTCCTAGGCCTGTGGCACTGTTGGAAGCGGGTAGAACCTTTAAGAGGTAGGACCAGTGAAAGGAAGTTGGGTCATGGAGGGGCGTGCCCTTAAAGGGGATGTGGAGATCCTGGCCCCTCCTCTTCTGTTCTCTTCCTTTGCTTCCTAACTGCCAGGAGGTGAGCAGTTTCCTCCACCATGAGCTCCCACCACAGGCCCAGAAACAACAGGCCAAGAGACCATGGACTGAAATCTGCAAAACTGCTAGCCCAAATCAACTTTTCCTCTGTGTGGTGTGTGTCTGTTTCATAGTGGGGATTGAACCCAGGGTTTTGCACATGCCAGGCCAAGCAAGTGCTCTACCACTGAGCTACATCCCCAGCCCCCTCCCTTTAAATTGATTATCCCAGGTACTTATTAGAGTAACAAAAAGCTAACTAAGGCAGTAAGTGTCCTTATAAAAGACAGAAGAGGGAAAAACAGATAGAAGAGAAGAGGAAGAGGCCATGTGAGTGTGGAGGCAGAAATTGGAATGCTAAGCCATAAGCCTAGGGGCCAACCATCCCCAACAGCCACCAGAAGCTGGAAGAGGCAAAGGACCTTGGAGCCTCCTCAGGGAATGTGGCCCTGATGACACCTTGAGTCCAGACTTCTGGCTTCTGGAGGCATGAGACAATAAATTTCTCTTGTTTTAATCCACTTGATTTGTGGTCATTTGTTACCACAGCCTTGGGAAACTAAAGAAACCCCGATCTCTATCTAAGAAGCTTCATCCTCACTCAGGGCCTTTTACCACCTGGTGGATCCGTATCATTTAAACTTTGCAAATAGCATGTGAGTTGGACTGTAAAGGCATCCTGAATTTCATCAAGCACTAAGGGCATCTGACTGGTCACAAAGGTTCCCTGAAAGGTCTTCTGTTTATATTGAAACCAGAGTGATTTGCAAAACTGGGTGCAGGTGGCACATGCTGATAGTCCAGCTGCTTGAAAGGCTGAAGCAGGAGAATCCCAAGTTCAAGGCCAACTTAGGCAACATATGAGACCTCATCTCAAGCAAAGGAAAGGGTGATTTGCAAAGAAATGAGATAAATCCAAGGTTTCAAACTGATTGCCAGCAGACTTCCTCTGTAATATATAGACATAATGATTTTTTATTGGAAATGAGAGAATACATATAGACCACTCAGCACAGTGCCTAGTCACAGTACCTGTGGTCACAGTGCTAGCAGTGGAAGGAACTACAGCCACAGTTAAAACAGGACCTGGCTCCTCTCACCTTTGGCCAGTGGCTCCTCTTTCCTGTACCTGTTTTCCTGCCCACCAAGGCAGTCCACCAGTTCCGTGGTTGCACCAGGATGCGGTATAGACAATGCACCTTTCTGAGACAGCCACCCAGGAGGAAAAGTCAAGGTTATGGTCATTTTCCACTGTTTGTTTTGTTTTGGGAGATACTGGGAAATGAACCCAGGAGTGCTCCACAGCTGAGCTACATCCCGAGCCCCTTTTATTTTATCTTGAGACTGCGTCTCTCTAAGTTGCTGAGGCTGGCCTCAAACTTGTGGTCCTCCTGCCTTACTTCTGAGATCACTTCTGAGATCACAGGTGGGAAATATTACTCCTGGATTCACAGTTATTAAGCATTTGGTTTTTGCAAAGACCAGGCAGATTTCAGAATATACAGAACCTTGGCATTAGCTCTCTCCTGGGGCATTTCTGTCAGTGAAATGTCTTTAGAAGGTCCCTTGGGACTGGGTGAAGGAGGGATGGAGGAGGAAGAAAAACACTGAGAAAAGAAGGCACTCACTGAGCCTGGCTAGTTAAGAAGAGATTTGGAGTGGGACACAGTGGCACATGCCTGTAATCCCAGTGGCACACATCTGTAATCCCAGTGGCTCGGGAGGCTGAGGCAGGAGAATCTCAAGTTCAAAGCCAGCCTCAGCAAAAGTGAGATGCTAAGCAACTCAATGAGACCCTGTCTCAAAATAAAACACAACATAGGGCTGGGGATGTGGCTTAGTGGTCAAGTGCCCCTGAGTCCAATCATCCCGGGTACCAAAAAAAAAAAAAAAAAAAGAAGCCATCTGGGTCCACACTCAGTCCAGGCCCTGCCTCTTGCCTCTTCAGAAGCTCCATAAAGTAAACTCTGTTCCATTGTGTTTGTCTTTCTATAAAATCCTCTAAGAAAATCACCTTACAGATTTGTGTATATTGACATGTAAGTGACTACTGGGGCTTTCTGCAATCTCATTTTATAAGAGGAAAAGCTTTCAAAGCAGTGAATACTTTAAATGGGCAAGTGACAGAGGGCCTTTTCGGTGATTTATATCACATATGGTTGTGTTCTATAGCCTGGCAAGAGGCCACATGAGTGTGCAAGATAGCAGGGGTCCAGGCCTTTGGGGTTTAGTTAGAGGGACTGAGCAGCTTCTGAACCCTCCATCCTCTTCCTGGACATAGGTCAATGGGGAAGGGCCTGGTGGGGGAGGGGCCAGAACTAAATATTGCCTCGGGGAGGATTTGCCACCGGCCACAAAGGTGCTTCTCAGGGAAAGCAGAGTTGTCAGGGAGGAGGGCACAACTGTTTCCTTTCAATGAGATGCAAAGCAGCTATGGTCTTTTAGCTCTTTGGGGATACCCTCAGCTTCCTCCTTCAGGCCCTCCAACCCATGGGACATTCCAGGTCATGGCCAGTGTATTCAAGAGAAGCTCATCTCATGGGCAAGTGCAGCAACCTGTGTACTTCTCAGTATTCCTCATCTGCCTCATGGCCTGGGACAAAAGACAGGACCAGAATCATGCTACACAAAAGGCAGGGTGCACAGGGGTAAAATCAGGTTACTAGAGAGGGCCAGAGCAGAGCCAGTGAAAAGGACCAGCAGGGAGTGTCACCTACCCCCACCCCCACATCAGCCCTCCTGGTTCAGGATAGTGTGGTGTCAGGGCCAGGCCTTCAGTAACCTCTGGGAAAGGAGCTCCTCTGTAGAAGAAAGGGACAAGAGCCAGTTCTGGAACACAAACACCAGTATATTTTGTTTTTAGATATGAAAAGGAAAAGACAGAGACCAACGGAGACACAGCAGGCAATGGGCACACCAACCAGTCATGTGTCTTTCTCAGGAGCTGCCCAATGGGAAGACAGTCTCAACCACTTCAACAGCCCCTTTTTGCAGCTCCTCGGAGTCTGGGTGGCCTCAGGGGGGAAGGCATTCTCCCTGCCTTAGCCAGAGCTAAAGGACTAGGCCTGTCCCTAGCCTGCCTCCCCTGGTACGTGTTCTGTAGTGAAGAGCTTCCTAAGCATAGGCTGTCACACGAGCTGACCCACTCAGCAGCTGCCTCACCAGGAGACCCATGCAGAGCGAGGGACCAGGACAAAAGGGCTTCATGGGTACCCCCTAAATATTATTGCTATGAATAAGCATAGGCCATTGTGACTCACTGGCACTGAGGAGGGACAGCACAGGAAACCTAGCAGACATTCAAAGCAGCTCAACTGTGAGAAGCAGCACATCTGCAGTCTAACTTGAGAGATGGTGCCACAGTCTGGAATGGCCCAGGACACCAGAGGTTCCTAAAGAGCAAGCAGACTCCCCACCAGCACCCTCACTGCCTGGCAGGGCTAGGATTACCCAAACTTTAAGGCCCTGAGCACTAAAGGATTGGACACCTGAAGATACCTGCCCCCCAGAAAAGCAACAGTTCTTCTACTATTCCTGGTGAGATGTGAACTTTGCAGATTCTGTGGTCAGGCTGCGGGTTGTAGCCTTCTCTTCTTGGGGGCTCTGTGCCCTATAAGAGGACACAGGAGCAATGGGACACTTAGGCCCACAATGCAGAATGGTGCCAGGGATGCATGCTCACTCTGGGAACTCCTGCATTTGATATTTATAGGACCAGGAGAGAAAATGGGACCAGGAAATGCCCACAAGGCAACATCTGGAGTGGTGAGACCTGACAGGCCATCTAAGGGCTTACTCTAGCTGACAAGTAAGGAGGGCTTGTGCTGGGAGACCCTGAGGTCTCTGGCCACTGAATTCAGTTGTACAAGGGGAATGTAAAGGTGGTGGCTGGAGGGTCTTTAGGGTGCAGGAGAATGAGACACCATAGAATTGGGGGGACCAAGGAAATGAGTGTCCAGCAATAAGGAACCATCTGTATATGGACAGCAATACACCCCCACTGGAAGTCTGACTCCCTGTAACCCCCAAAATCCTAGAATTAGGGCCACAATAATAGGACCATCACCCACAGGATGCAGTTCTCAATTTGAGGAGCCGGCACAGGAAACAGAAATGGAAACACCTTACATCCTGCCCTGGACGGGACAAACTCAGACAAAGGCTACCAGACTATCTCCCAGCCCAGGACACCCCTTCTGTCTGCACAGTCCAGGGGAACAGCCACCAAGAGGAATTTCTCTCCCCAGGTGGTAGCCACTTTTTAACGGTCTATAAGAAGGGGAAGGATAATTTCTACTTCGGTCCTAGTGGTCAAGATGAAACCATGTCCCATGGAATGGTTTGTTTTTTGATGGACCCCTCTCCTCAGAGTGTAGGCAGACAGAGTCAGAGAGGCCTGGAGTGAGGATTTCACTCGTCCACTGCCAGCAATGGACCTGTTGCAGGGGGAAAGAGAGAGAATCAAGATGACGATGCCCACGAGCATGGCAGGGTTAACACTGTGAGGAGCAAGTTCAAAGGGTCAGCCTTGCTGGAGGCGGGGGCAGCCCTGAGGTTTAGCTGCAGAGCTGGGGCCACAGTAGAACCAGAACTAGTCCTGACCCATGAAAGAAGCTCCAGAGAGCCTTCCACAGTCCTCTTTTCCTTCCTCATTCTCCACGGGTCTCCAACACTGGATACCTGCCCCCCAGAAAGCTAGACTACCTAGAACATAAGCCAGTGACAGCAAACAGGATAGAGCTCAGCCTCCGCCACTCCCCATTCAGCTAATTTGCCTCTAGGTTCCAATGTGGATACACAAGGCCCCTCTGGGCTCAACTGTATTCTGGGGGACACAATTCATTTTCAGCAGGGCGCCTGCAGGGAGGGGGACACTGCTCATCAGACAATAGCCAGGGAGGCAGAACTGGTGACTGGGCCTCCCCAGTCATCAGGCCAGTGAGAGCAGTGGTTGCAGGACCCGGAGAAGGCAGGTAAAGTCTATGTCAGGGTTCTACCTCTGGCCACTGCTGTGTTGGTTAGGAAGTTGGGAATGGGGCAGGTGGCTGACATGGATAAAAGGGGTACTAGTGGTAAAGGCTTTAAAAAAAAAAAGAGAAAGAAAGAAAAGGGGAAACACCACCGAACACACAGGGATTGAAACCTCCCAAAGCCCAAGGTTGGTGGGAATCCAGCACCACGGGGGCCCCCAGAAGGCCAAGGGAGCAGAGCAGGACCCTGGGGGAGGGGAGAGGAGCCAGGGAAAGGTTTCCCAGCCCTTGCAGACTAGCATGGTAGCCAAGCAGCCTCCTGGCTGCTCAGTCTCTCTTAGGCTGCAGCTCAGCAGGCCCCCAGGGAGGTATTGGTTGCAAGCAAGCACCTGAATATTGCCTAATGGAACCAGCCAAAGCCCAAATAAATCCAGGCAAGTGGGAGGAAGGTGACCGCAGCAGCAGCCCAAAGCCTCCTCAGAGCTTGCCTCCCACCTGCTGCCCCATTCTCAATGACCCTTAGCCAGGATAGATCCTGCTTCTTCCAAAAAAGCCAACCATGTAGTCCAATTGTTGCCCAGCCAGAAGCCTCCTGCTACCAGCCCCTGGACTGGGGCCAAGATCCATGTACCTTACCAATGTCCTTCTGTTGCCTACACACCCCACCTCCTAACACCATCCCACCCTGGAGGGTATGGGGCTGTGTGTGCCCTACGAGCAAAAGGGGGGGGGGGCTGTGCTGAACAGAAGGGGTAACCCTGACAGCTTGGTCTCTTTGTCCTTGGGTTCCATAAGAGACCTCCCCCAAGCCCTCCCACTTGTTCCCCGACAGTCAGTCAGTCTTGACGTGGCCGTTGGCCAGGGCTGGCGGCCCCCCGGGCTCCCCAGGCTCGGCATCCTTGTCAAAGCGGAGGCGGAGGGTGTTTCGGATGATGAACTGCTCCATGATGAGGGCCCCACAGAACCAGGGCACGGCGTACTCCAGGGTGATGAGGCCCATGAAGTCAAAGTCGAACTGGGAGTAGTCCCAGGGGCAGGCGTTGAACTGGCGCAGGATGAAGCCCGTGGTGAACTCCCACAGGTAGGTCCAGAGCGTGTAGATGAGGCAGCGCAGCAGCAGCGGGCAGCGGCCCCGCAGGCGCAGGTACATGCGCTCCACGATGAGGATGGAGGTGCCGTAGATGAAGAGGGCCCACACGCTGGTGACGCCCGGGAACTTCCAGTTAAAGTTCACCACGAACTCCCAGGCGGCCGTGAACATCACCTCGCAGAAGTAGCCGTGGATGGCGTACAGGTACCAGCGGGACAGCGCCGTGAGCGGCTCCGCAGAAGCCATGGTGCCCCCTGGAGCCTGCTCCTGGGACACAGAGGAGATGCATCAAGGAGGAGGCCCCTGCTGGTGTCTTCCCACTGCCCAGCCCACGCCTCTGGGGTGATCAAGCTGGAGGGGATTTCATCACACCTGCCCCTGCCTTTCTCCCTTCCTCCTTGGTTACCTACCGTCTTCTGTCAGTTTCTTTTTCTTTCATTTTTTGGTATCAGGGATTGAACCCAAGGGCACTTAATCACTGAGCTGGGGAGCCCTCTATGTTTTTTATTATTTTGAGACAGAATCTCACTAGGTTGCCTACAGCCTCGCTAAGTTGCTAAGGCTGACTTCCAAACTGGGATCTGCCTGCCTCAGACTCCTAGGCTGGGATTACAGGCGGGCCCCACCACCCTGGGAACCTGCTGTCTTCTTGACCTTACTCCATGTTCATTTCTGTATTGCCTATTCTTCTTTAGGCAGTGGGCATGAGAAATGAATGGAAAAAAACAACCCAGCTCACTGGCTTCCTCTGATCAACTCTTCACAACTCCTCGGGGGTATCTACTACACTTAAACTTGATTGACTGATTGACTGATTGTAATCAGTTGAAGTGTTGTCTGTCCTGGCCCACCACCCACTCCCACTTCTAGGCTACTAGCTCATTTCTCACCAGGTCCATCCACTGGGATCCCATGTCTTCTCTCACTTCTCAAATAGCCCCATGTCACTCACACTTCTGAAATCTAAGAAAACTATCACCTTTCTCTCTCTTCATAACACATCTATAACACTTACCATTTTAGCCACTTTTCAGTGTACAAGTCAGTGGCATTAAGCATATTCACACTATTGTATAGCCATCCCCACCATCTACCTCCAGAACCTTTTCATCATCCCAAAAAAACTCTGTCCCCATGAAACACTAACTTCCCATTCCTTCTTCCCTCAGCTCAGTCTCCATAAATTGGAGGTACCTCACCTTCTCATTTTTGTTGTAATCCTGAACTCTCCCATATCCTCCTCTAGAATCAGACAGTATTTGGTCTTTTGTGACAGGCTTATTTCATTGAGCATAATGTCTTCCATATAATGAAGCATGTGTCTCAATCTCCTTCCGTTTTAAGGCTGAATAAATTCCATCAGCTATATGGAACACATTTTGTTTGTTCACTCCTCTGTCCATAGACACTGAGGTTGCTTCCATCTTTTGACTACTATAAATAACGCTATGAATATGGGTGTCTGAACATCTCTACAAGACCCTGCTTCCAATTCTTTTAGGTCTGTACCCAAAATTAGAATGCCTAGATCATATGGTAATTCTATGGTTAATTTTTGAAGAACTTTCACACCATTCTTCACATTTTACATTGCCAGCAGCAGTGCACAAGTGTTCCAGTTTCTCAACATCCTGGCTAATGTTTGTTTTTATTTCCTCAATAATGGCCATCCTAACAAGACACCTAAAGTAATACCCATTATGGTCACATTTTGTCTTTAACTGCTACATTAAATTGAATTTTGGAGTTTGGTTTCAATGTTGAGGGGAAACCAGTGGATTGATAGAGTGCTCCCCTTTCCTTCTCCATCCCCCTCCTTTGTTTTAAAACCCCAGCAGCCTTCAGGGACTGGCTCTCATCCCATCCTGTTTCCCTGAAGCCTGGCCTGGCCACAGGCCTCTCAGATTTCCCTTCTTCTACCAGAGAGTGTCTGGACCACTGATTTGGCCCATTACCAGATGCCACCTTTTTTACTTTTTGATGTGCATGCCCTTGTGATTTGGCCTGTGAACTCCTTGAGAGCAGTGGCTGTTTTTCAGTCCCATTTTGCGATCATTGGCACAGGTCTCTCCTGAGCAGAACTTTCTAAATGATATGTCCTATTTAGGCAGAGGGGGATATGGGAGAGTTCAGGATTACAACAAAAATGGGAAGCTCTGGTCAGGCATGGGAGTGCACACCTCTAATCCCAGCAATCCCGGAGACAGAGGCAGGAGGATCATAAGTTCAAGGTGAGCCAGGGCAATATAGTGAGACTCTGTCTCAAAATAAAGTAAAAAGGGCTGGGGATGTAGCTCAGTGGTAGAGTGCTTACCTAGCATGCTCAAGGCTCTGATACAAAAAAAAGAGTAGGAAAAACTCTGCCAGCTTCCAAAGAATTCCTGGCTTAACATGTGTCAACCCTTTTCCAAGATGGGCCAGGGAACTGAGAGGTTAACAAAATGATATCTGCAGTTTTCCCACCTGTCTGGGAATGCCAGCCTCATCTTTCAGATAACACAGGTCATGTTGCAATGATACCTGCTTCCCCTTATGCATTGCACTGTGCTCTTCCTAGCATTTTGTGTGTGTGTGTGTGTGTGTGTGTGTTTGTACTGGAGATTGAGCCCAGGAGCACTTTACCACTGAGCTACCTCCCCAACCCTTTTTATTTTTTACTTTGAGACAAGGTCTTGCTAAATTGCTTAGGTTGGTCTTGACCTTGTGATCCTCCTTGGCTCAGCCTCCCAAGTCGTTGGGTTTACAGGGGTGCACCACCGCACCTGGCTATATCATGCTCTTTCCTGGACACCTCCACCTAAATGTCTCCTTTCCTAAATCAAACTCATTCTTTCCCCCCCCCCCCCATCAAACCTATTTTCCTCCTCTAACCCCATTCTGATTAATGACATCACCATGCACCCAGTTAGAAGCCAGAGGCCCTGAATCACTCTCTCTTCCCCTTTCACATCTCCCACCCCCCACCAACCCCCAACCCAAGTTTCTGAGTAAGGTTATTTGTGGGTTCAGCACTGCCATCCCAGTCCCTGGCATGGTGCCCGGTACCCAGTTGCACATTCGACACAAGAATAAGGACTTTTTCTAATTGGTTAGCAATGGCCACCTAACAATCATTCCCAAACTAGCTTAAATCTCCTATCATTTACTATTGCAGCTCTGTGGGTTGGCAGATCTTGGCTGGCCTTGATCATGAGGCTGTGAGTCATCTGGGTCTCTGTTCTATGCTTGGCTGGGAGGTTTAGGGGGTGGCTGTCCTCCACCAATCTTTCGTCCTCCTGCGAGGCCAACTAGACTAGGCTGGGCATACCCTTCTAGGTAAGGACAGCAGCACAAGAGCAAGCAAGCCCAACTACACATTATCAGGACTCTGGTCAAGGAGGGGAAAAGAATAGCGGGAGAGAAGATGACTAATGGGTATAAGGGTAGAACAGGATAGGAGGAATCATTTCTAATGTTCTGTAGCACAGCAGGGTAACTGTAGTTGACCACAAGTAATTATACATTTCAAAACAGCTATTAGAAAGGATTTTGAATGTTCTCAAAAAATGATAAATATTTGAGGTGATGGATATACCAATTACCCTGACCTGATCATTACACATTGTATACATGTACTAAAATGTCACACTGGGGCTGGAGTTGTAGCTCAGCAGTAGAGCATTTGCCTCTTGTGTGAGGCACCACGTATAAATAATCAAATAAAATAAAGGTCCATCAACAACTAAAAAAATGTCACACTGCAACCCATAAATATGTACAATTACTATGTGTCAATTCAAAACAATTTTAATATTAAAATCCTTTTTAAAATCTCAACAAAAAGATAATCCAAATTTTAAAGCCTGATTAAGACATCCCGCTATCTCATTGGTCAAGGCAGATCTTATGGCAAAGCCACTAATTCCTGCCCTTTCTACTTGTTATATCTCTTTGGAATCAGTCTCCTCTTCATTCCTCTCTTCTCATTGCTGCTAACTCTGGTTCAAGCCTTCCTCATGTCTCACCTGGATAACTCTGAAAGTCTCCCCACTTTGCCCCCTCCCAATTCAAATCACAGGACTGATGTGTATAGAAAGAGCAATCTGTCTCAAATGCCACTTGAGGTTTCTCCCCACTTGAAACCTACCAACATCACCAACCCTGAGGATGGCTAGCAAAGCCCTTCACAACCCAACACTGCCTTCGAGCCTGTCCTCTGAATCTTCTACCTTGCTGCTTTTGTTCCCTGGGATGCTCTTCCCGTCTGCCATCATCCGCCATGGCCCATGAACCCACAATCCTCCCCAAGACCCCAGAGTTGTCTGCTGCCCTCTCTGCTCACCTGTCTGTGGCTACAGAAGCACCAGGCTTTGTCATGATTCATCTGAAGCCCAGCTCGAGTAGCCACTTGAGAAACATTTCTTATAATATTAAAAGAAAAGGGCAGGATTCAAAACTGAGTATTTAACATGACTGATTTTGCAAAGGTGTACATCCATGTAAATACTCCCCCCACCCAAATCCGCAAAAATCATCTCTGGATGGTAATAACATATGTGATTCTTCCTTGTATTTTTTTTTTTTCTGTATGCTCTTAAAAAGTTTCCTAAGAAGCAAGGAAAAATAAAATGTTATCTTATAAATGCTTGCTGGGGTTGGGGATGTAGCTCAGCGATACAGGGCTTGCCTAGCATGTGCAAGCCCTGGATTTAATCCTTAGCACTGAAGGGGAAAAAAATAAAAACTTTGTTAATATTCTTTGGATCTTGTATACAAAAGATGTTCAAGAAATTTGCCAAACAAAAGGACCTCAGGATCTCTGAAGTCAGTAAAATTAATGCAGATTCTTCCCTCCTGAGTCTTTCCCAACAACAAACTACGACCCAGGCCTGAATGTGGTGTGGGGTTAAGCTCAAGGGCCTGGGTCCGAGTTCTGACTGATACTCACCACCTGAGGTATCTAAGGCAAGTTACCTGATTGTTCCACACCTCAGCTTCCTTACAGATAAAAGGATGATAATGGAGTAACGATCACAGGCTACGGTGAAGATGAATGAGCTGCTAGATATGGAATACTTGGCAGAACATGGTGGTGCATGCCTGTACTCTCTGGGGAAGCTAAGGCAGGATTGTCCAGTTCAAGGCCAGCCTTGGCAATTTAGCAAGACACTGTCTCAAAATACAAAATAAAAAGGGCTGGGGATATAGCTCAGTGGTAGAGCTAAAAATAAAAATAAATAAACAGGGTAATCACACATACTTCTTTAATACAGCAAACACTCCAGAAAGTGTAGCTGTCCCTTCTGGCACAGAGACAGGCTTCTGGACAGGCCCTTCTGCTTTAAGAGCCATCTCCTACCTGAGGCAGGATCTCTGTGCCCCAAGCCCTCACCTGCCAAGCAGGTTAGATCTTTCCCCCTATCTAGAGCACCAAGCCAATGAATTAAGAAAATACGAATCTCAGTAGAGGGAGCAGAGAGAGAAGAGGGGAGGGGAGGGGAGGGGAGGGGAGGGGAGGGGACGGGAGTGGGGATAGTAGAGGATAGGAAAGGCAGCAGAATACAACAGACACTAGTATGGCAATATGTAAATCAATGGATGTGTAACTGATGTGATTCTGCAATCTGTATATGGGGTAAAAATGGGAGCTCATAACCCACTTGAATCAAATTGTGAAATATGATATATCAAGAACTATGTAATGTTTTGAACAACCAACAATAAAAAATAAAAAAAAAATAAAAAAAATAAAAGAAACCATGTGAAAACAATAATCCCACATACATCACTACCTCGGGGCGCAAAAACTCCCACGTAGAGCTTAGGACAGTCAGTGGGAGCTTCCAGCGACCTGTGGCGGTGGGGTGCTGAATTAAAAGGGAAGGGCATCAGAACCAGTTCTCTGAGGATTAGGTTTGAAGAGAGGGTAGAATAAAAGGGTGAACATTCCTGGTACATTCTCATTTTATCCTGAACCCCCACTCCCCAGGTGAGCAGAGAACAGACTCAGGCTCTAGGGAAACACAAGAAAGGCTGATAGCCCTGAGGTGGGTGGCCCAGGAACAATGATTCAGAGACCCCTGGGCCTCCTGCCCTAACTCAGTCCTGCCCACCTGATCTGCACACAAACCCTGTTCCCGCTGAAGCAGGAGGAAAGGACGGCCAGGGATCCTGGGTAGGAAAGGGGCTCTCCCTCCTGACATTCCCGGATCTCCTCTCCTACCAGCCCCCCCACCTTCGTGCTGATTTTAAACCGCGCTCTCCTTGTCTCTGATCTCATCTTCCTGGGGTGACCAAGAATGGTTTTCCAGCTAGGAACAAACCAGAGGATCCCAGGTGACCTGGAAGAATGGGACCCCAAAACCTTGTCAGCAGAAGCAAGATGAAAGGGAGAGAGGAACCTGGGGTGAAAGAGGGCAAGCTCTGAACAGAAGAGAGGCTGGGAGGTGAGAACAGGGGGAGCCCAGGACTGGACTCTATTTCTGGGCAGCAGGAAGCACTTGGGTAGGTGGGGGCAGGGGGAGGCATACCTAGGCAAGGTCAGACCTTGTCCGAGGGGTTGTGTCAGGAGAACACAGCTGGTCCACACAAGACGGATGGGGGCAACTGAAAGACCTGGCTGGGGGCAGAAGACAGGGGTGAAGACAAATGAAGATGAGACAGTGTCACTGGGAGGATACAGTTCAGAGTGGTGGGAGATGATAAGATAAGGCGCAGGGCACGGGCTCAAGTTCATAGCTCCACACCCAATCCCACTCCTTATCATCACACGACCTGTGCCTAACCTTGGAGCCAAGACAAGCTCACCACCCTCTGTTGGACCCCACAGGCCCCAACTCCCTGCCCTGACCCCCCCCCCGCCCCCTTTGCCCCTGGGCCCATTCCCATACCTCCTTGCTCAGCCCTGGAACCAGAGCCTTGGGAGAGCCTGCCGCGGCTAGAACCAGCAGCTCCGCGAATGTTGGCCTCTTTTCCCTGGTGACAAACACAACCATCCTGAGGACTGCGACACAAAGTCAGGACAGCCCAGGAAAGAAAATTCAGGGTGGAGTAAAGAGGACAAGCATGGTCAGGACTAGAAGCATGAAAAAAGCATTTGGAGAGGAGTGGATGGTTTCACAAGTAGGGTTTTGGGAACTAACACTCGATTCCAAGAGCCCTCATGCTTGATGATGAAGGGCCTAGGAACACAGTGTTCCTGCAAAGGGCTCAAGGTGATTGGCCAGAGCAGCCAACTACCGTCCACAGGAACAGGTGATGGGGAGGGGAGAGGAGGCTTTCAGTGTCCTGCTCTGAAATGCTCTGAAAGGGTGAAAGAGGGCCTGTCCACCTGTGTGTGCATGGACAGACACTTGCTTCCAGGTGAGATGAGGGGTCTCACCTGCTGCTCTCTCAGAGCCTGCTGAGCTCATCCACAGGGTGGCTCAGGTTCAGAGAGCAGGTGAAAAGGGTAGAGACTGCCATAGGAGCCTGAGATGGGCTGGAGGCAATACCAGATGGAATGATTGCCCTTGGTTTTGCCAAAAACTCTCATCTAATTCCAGGAAACTAAGGTGCCACAGCATAATGACTCTGGGAATTTTTGTCCAGAGAAGCAATTTGCTGGAAAAATCAAGCCTCTCCTCCCACACAGCCAGGTTGGACAGAATTTCTTTCACCCTATTTGCTTCTCAAGCTTCATTCCCTGTCCCCAGGAACCTAAATCCATCCTCTGGAGAGACACATAGGCCTTGTAGGAGGCCCCTAGGGCAAAGCTTCTGAGACTCTGGATCCCGTCCCCAGGTGGACTCCACACGAGGATCAGTGGAGTCAGTGAGGAGAGGGCAGTTCTCTCCGTCTGGAGTAAGGCCCGAGATCATCCTGAGCGTTCCCTACAGCCCTCAGGGTAAGAGGAGGAAAACCCAGGCTTGCTTCAGGGCTAGAAGGAAAGCAAGCAGAAGGAAACGCTCGTGGTCACTGGTGGGCTCAGATGCCCCTGACCTCGACCATTCTTGCTGTGGGCATCCCCCCAGGATGACCCCCTGAAATCAGGGACACTGCAGGCCTAGATGGGGTCCTCTCCTCACCTCCCGTCACAATAATAACTAGATGCTCTTCTCAGCGCTTTTCACGCATTGACTCAGATAGTCCTCCAGCCTGTTTTACAGATGGGGAAAGTGAGGAAGCAAGAGGCTAATTGGCCTATAACTAATGGCTATAAAAACAACTCTGGGATTCAAAATCCACAAGGCTGGCTCCAGAGTCTTCATCCCTAATCAGCACACTGTTCCTCCTCAGAGGCCGTCTCCAGGCACTCTAAGGACACTACCATTTTCCAAGCTTCTGGATAGTTGGGATGGCATCTGGAGAATCAATAGGAAGTCAGAAGGATGCACATTGATAGATGGATAATCAGTGAAGGTCAGAACTGGTTGTCAGAGCTACTGAAGGCTCCCAGTCCCTTCCTCAGGCAAGTTCTGGCAGAATACACACAAAGATCCTTGAAGGTCAAAGCTGACCCTCACAGGACCATCCCTCAGGGCTTCAAGGCATGAACCATTCAAAGACCCCTCACTAGGCACACATTACGCAGTGTTCCTTACTGCCGACCCACCCCGATGCTACTAGCATCTCAGATGGCCCAGCTCTCCTATGGAAATGCCAGCCAAGAGCAGCGGCCCGTGTACAGGCTGCCCAGAGGAGCCATCTGCCCAGATCAGCAGCAGCCAGTGTCAGAAAGAAACATTCCACACAGAGGATTTTTCAGAAGGCTCAAATGCTCAGCAAATCCCAGCTGGGAGGCATGGGGGAGCGAGGTGGGCAAGAAGGCTAAGGGAATGGATCCACAGCTCAGGAAGCAAAATAGCTTCCCTGCCATTCACATCATCGCGTTTTATTTTCTTCATAGAACTTTCACTATTTATTTATGGTCTTTTCCTCCCCAATTAGAATGAAAGCTCCTTGAGGCCCTGGGCTTTGTTTTCACTGCTGGGTAATCATTGCCTAGATCCTGCAATAAGACCTATGAGGGATGGATGGGGGATGGATGCATGAGCACAAACAGGCCCACACTGAAAATTTTAATTCTAGTATTTAAAAATATATTATTAGGGGGCTCAGAATGTAGCACAGTGGTGAAACACTCGCCTAGCAAGCATGTGACTTAGCAAGCAAAAACCTCTCCTAAGCCCACATTTTAAAGAGGGTCACTATTAATGGTATATTCTTCAGTCACCCAAATTGAATGGTTTTAAAAGAGGCTGATCCATGCATCATAGAAAAGAAACGCATTCCTAATGAAACCAACCAACCATCATCACGTGCCACTGCAATCGTTCCCCATGTGCGTATTCTACAAGTTACCATAATGTACTCATTCTATAACCAGACATTTTCACTTATTGTATCAACATTGTTTTCCAAGTGGTTTTGTAGCCATATGTGCTTATAATTAGAGTGGCTATGTAATATTCCACCAAGTGGAAAGAAAAACAATTTACTTAACCAAGATGTTCAGCAAAGAAACAATTATGCCCCATTTCTGCTATTACAGATGACATTCCAGAAATATCTTTTATGCCTGTTAACAAAAGAATTTAGCCATTTTCTTCTTTGAGACTACTTGCTGATGAAAGATTTCAGAGTGAACAATTCCTGAAATGGAATCACTAGACCAAAGGGTACAAAAGCCTTAAGGCTCATAGTGTAGATTGCTCAGGGAGCCTGTCTAACGGGGGGAATAGGTCTACCATCTGGTTTACTACATTTCCAGTGGCCTCCATGGCCGTCTCCCCACACCCATTTTCCCTCTTCCAGTCCAGGTTCACCCACGTTACTGCAGCTACAAATCAACACCTTCCTGAAAAGCCCATGAGTCACAAACTGATTTTCCAAGCCCAAGCTGCATGGGAAACAGATTCTGGCCCTGAGCTGTAAATTTTCAACTGGGAGAGTCAGACCTGCCTGCAGCTGAGAAATACCTGGTTATTCTTTTACCTCTCTCTGCAAACTCCTGCATGGAATCTAAGATGCTGGGCCCCCGTGAACCATCCCACAAGCTCCTAAATGCTTATCCAATCAAGACTGCCAAAGCTCCAGCTCTGCCTGCCTGCCTTACAAGGGGCTCCCTTCCTGCTGGTCCCCCAGCCCACCACTGGATCATCTGTTCTGCACAGACATAACAGCCTTCAGGTCAGACAGACCTCTGGAAGGCAGCCGATGGTTATTTTTTAAAGTACCATCAAGGAAAACTGGAGATAAGTCCAGCTGAGGCTGCACAGTCAAGGACCTTCTCCTACCTTCTGTGGGGCTTGTCTGGACCTAGGAAGAGATACTGCTGAAAGCAAGAGGACTTGCCCCTGCTGACTCCCTGGGAGTCACTTTTATGACAGTGTCAGCTCCACAAATTCCCTCACCTGCCAGGGCACTGGATGTTCTATCCAAGGCCTTCTGGGTGGGTGGCGCCACTTGAATTCGCGGCGTGTAGACAGAATCCGAATTCCAGTTAAGGCACAGCTCCTACTGCAGGGAGGTAAAACCTGATGCTCAGGGTCTCCAGGAGCCAATGATAAGAAAGACCGCAGGGAGATGCCCTCTTCCAGGTGCTGGATTTCTTGCTTCACTCACTTCAACCAATCTGGGTCTGGCCCAGTTTTGGGAGGCCATGGGGCTATTAAATGACTCCAACAGTGACGTGGCCTGAAATTGCTCAACACTCCCCTACAATTCCAGAACTGTAGCCCTGTGACGGGGCTTTCCATCCCCTTGGATGGAAAGCAGGCTTAGAACTAGAACCCCCAGATCCATGCTGATGGGATGCTAGGCAGGCAGACAGGGTCAGGCAGGACCCCTGGGTACCTAAAACATACTCACTTATCACACCCTTGAGTGTGTAGCTCATAACAGGCATCAGGGTCACTGTGCAGGAGTGTCCCGGCTTAACCTTTGTTTTGTTGCCAGACTGGGCCTCGGTGCCATTCTCAGCAATGTGGGCAGGCATCAGCCCCAGGGCTCAGCTGATCCTTGGCTAATAGGAGGGCAGCTTCCCTGTGTCCCTGGGAATGAAAGAGGAGGCCTTTATTAGCTTAATCCGCCCCAGCTCTGAGCCACCAGGCCAGCCCAAGAGTTAAATCCAAGGCTCAGGGCTCTGTACCAGGTCACCAGGAACCTAGAACCTACCATCTCACCTCTACTGCCCTGTGTGCTCAGGTCTGGTTAATCCAGCCATGAGAGCCTGGGACCTTTCCTGCGTAATTCACGTGTGGGATTACAATTGAGGGCTTCTTGGGCCATGAGTGAATGAATGTGTGCACACTTGTAAATCTCAGAAGGGATATAATTTTAGAATCCAGCTCCATTCTCAGCTTCCAATTACACTGTCACCTTCACCCTGCAGTGGGGACATCTGTTACCAAGGGCAGTTGAGAACCTCACAGAAGGCAGACAAGGTAGGGCGTTTGTTTTAGCGTTTTAGGGATCAAATACAACAACACAGAAAAACAGGCAAACAAAACGTGTGCTAAGCCTCTTACTGTAACCCACCTCTCCAATATTTATCTCATTATTATTGTTGAGGCCCTTCCTATGAACACTGACAACTGGCTACAAGCTAGTATAAATCTTACTTTGTAAGGTTTCTTGCTGCATAAATGTTTTTATTAATATCTCCAAGTCTTGACCATCTAAGACAGACAGATGCCCAGATTCTTTGTTCTAATGTGAAGGTGCTGAGGCTTCCTGGGAAATCCCCTTGACACAGCACTGTCTGCACAGGACCTTGGCCCAGCAGGGTGGCTGCCAAGAGAAGCTGAGAACAGTGTGTGGCCCTTCTCACGTGTCCCCATGTTTTGACCACCCAAGCAGGGTGGACCACAGAGGTGCCAGCCTGTACTGACACCCAGGCTCCCTTCCCCTCCCCCCGGCTCTGAGAGCAGCAAATCCTCTCCCTTTGTCCCTTAAGCTGACAACTTAGGAGGCAGCAAGGGATCTGAGAAGTGTAAGGGCAAGGGCAGGTTGGGAAACTTAAACACCCCCTGTAAGTGTGCTTTGTGGGGGCCCCCACTGGGTCTCCCCCAGGGCCACTGCACTGGAGGAAAGTGAAAGGCTGAGGCGTCACAGGTGACATGCTTTGGGCTGCTGTGCTCTGCCTTGCCTGTCCCTTCCCAGGTCCTCCAGGAACAGGAACCTCCAGCCCTCCCCCACCTGTCCAGCCCCCTCCCCTCTCCCAGCCTGCCTGATGGTGGGCAGAGGTCACCCAGGCACATACCTACCACCTCCAGGAAAGGGCCTTAATGGGGCGTGTCAGATGCGCCCTCCTACCAGCAACGCCATGACCCACCGCCTGGGGTGTCCAATCACCCATGGGCAACTTCCCTTTCCCTGAGCCCTAAGCAGCCCACAGTAAACCACAAGTCAAAAGAGAAACAGAAACCAAAGACCACATCCTGCCAGCAGAGCCTGGCTGGGGCTGCAGTCAGCCCTGGAAGCTGGTTGCTGGCTAAGGCGCTGCCCTGGCAGATGAAGCCCCAAAGGTCAGAGCAGGTCCCTCCAGGAGCCAGCCTCCTGCTTCCTGGACTGAAGTCCCCCTGCTGCCAGTTCCCCAGTGGGGGTGGACAAGATGCTAGTGTAGCAGGGGTCCCTGCAAGAGCACAAGCTGTCCCAGCTCCCTCTGACACTCCCTGGCCCTCAAGAGCAGGCCGTAGGGGACAAAGCCGGAAGTTTTTGGAGCACACAAATATGTGAAGAGCCCTTCAGCAACTCACATAAGCAGAACTTAGGCTTTTTGAAGTATATCACCTCTCGTGATTCTCTCAGGACTCCTGTGGGACAGGAAGGGCAGAAATGGCCCCCCCATTCTAGGGATGAAAACACTGAGACTTGTCCTAACTCATACATTTGATTCAAACCCCAATTCCCATGCTCTAGTCACCCCTCTCCCTGTACAGTATGCCTCCAAACTGCTTCCTACCCAAGCCTCATCCTTAAGGCACCTGTCTGCATAGATCTTTTCTTTTTTAAAATTTGTTCTAATTAGTTATACATGACAGTAGAATGCATTTGAAACATCATACATAAATGGAGTATAACTTCTTGTTCTGATTGATGGTACATGATGTAAAATTACCCTGGTCATATGTGCACACAGAGTAATAATGTCCGATTCATTCTATTAACCTTCCTACCCCATCCCTCCTCCCCTTCACTCCCTTTGCCTAATCCAAAGTACTTTTATTTTTCCCTAGCCCACCCCACCTTATTGTGAATTAGCATCTGCGTATCAGAGAAAACATTCAGCCTTTGGTTCTTTGGGATGGGCTTATTTTGCTTAGCATGATATTCTCCAACTCCATCCATTACTGGCAAATACCATAACTTCATTCTTCTTTAAGGCTGAGTAATATTCCACTGTGTATATATACCACATTTTCTTTATCCATTCATCTGTTGAAGGGCACCTAGGTTGGTTCCATAGTTCAGCTATTGGGAACTGAGCTGCTATACACATGGATGTGGGTGAATTACTGTAGTATGCTGATTTTAAGTCCTTTGGGTTAAAACCAAGAAATGGGATAGCTGGGTTAAATGAGGGTTCCATACCAAGTGTTGTTAGGAATCTCCATCTGCTTTCCATAGTGGTTGCACCAATTTGCAGTCTCATCATTAATGTATGAGTGTGCCTTTTCCTCATATCCTCACCAACATTTATTGTTGCTTGTATTCTTGATAACTTATATTCTCACTGGAGTGAAATGAAATCTTGGTGTAGATTTGAATTTCTTCTTCTGTGAAGTGTCTGTTCAGTTCCTTTGCCCACTTATTGATTGTATTATTTGGATTTTTTTTTTTTGGTGTTAAATTTTGAGTTCTTTATATATCCCAGAGATTTGTATTCTATCTGAGGTGCTTGTGTAAAGATTTTCTCCCATTCTGTAGGCTCTCTCTTCAAATTGTTGATTGTTTCCTTTGCTGAGAAGAAGCTTTTTGGTTTGATTCCATCCCATTTATCGATTCTTGATTTTTATTTCTTGCACTTTAGGAGTCTTCTTAAGGAAGTCACTTCCTAAACCAACATGTTGAAGATTCGAGCCTACTTTTTCTTCTATTAGGCACAGTGTCTCTGTTCTAGTTCCTAAGTCTTTGATCCACTTTGAGTTGAGTTTTGTGCAAGGTGAGAGATAGGGGTTTAATTTCATTTTGCTAGATATGGATTTCCAGGCTTCCCAGCATCATTTCTGAAGAGGCCATATTTTGTCTAATGTAATATAGTGCACAGGCCTTTCATTCAATGTGATCACTCAGTCCATCCTGAGAGTCTTTTTTTTTTTTTTTGGTACCAGGGATTGAACTCAGGGGCACCCAACCACTGAGCCACATCCCCAGCTCTATTTTGTATTTTATTGAGAGGCAGGGTCTGACTGAGTTGCTTAGCACCTCACTTTTGCTGAGGCTGGCTTTGAACTTGAGATCCTCCTGCCTCAGCCTCCCGAGCCGCTGGCATTACAGACGTGCACCACTACGCCCAGTCTGACAGTTTCTTACTTTACATTCAGCTGACTTTTTCTATCCAGCTTCTCCATCAAATGCCTGAGGTGCTCCTGAGCACTTGAAGCAGCAGGAACCACATGTGGTGTCAAGCCCTGTCATCTTCTGCCTCTTCAGCAGCCCACCCACTCCTGCTCCTTCCAGACCCTGTTTGCACCTCACTCTCCTGTGAAGCCGTCCACAGCCTGGGGCTCATCCCATCACCGATGCTCCCCCTGGACTTTGACCATGCTTCCTTTGGCATGTGTTCCATCTGAAAATTATTTCGTATGTGACTGTATGCCTTACCAGATGATGGATTCCTAGAGACTACGGAACTTCTGCTGGATAGATAGACAAGATGGAGGAGGGTCCAGCTAGATTGTTGGGTGATGGAGTCATCCAGTGTTATTAACCAAGCCTAGCAAGGTCTGGTGTTTGTCTCTGATTCCTAGGGTGCTATCATAGAAAGGTTCACTCCCGCTGTGCACCATAAGATTGGGTCTACAAAGCAGGCATCCTGAGAGACACTGCAGGCTCCTACGTGGGCAGGGGGCCAGGCCAGAGAATAACAATGCCTACTCTGTTATTGCTACAACTTTCAAAAGGCACAGCCAGTTTTCACGCACGAGGATTCATTTCCCAAAGAGGTTTAACCAGCAGCTGCTGGCAGGAAATTCCCTCTGCATCGTTTTCTCTCCTCTGTAACTATTTAGGGTAAGCTGGGCTTGCAGGATTGAGTCTCTGCTTCTTTGACCGGAACCCAAATCCTTTGGCCCCTCCTACCTCCATGGC